ACTGGAGTATCAAAAGGAAAAAGGGAAAATGGGGCAAAAAAATTTTGAGGAATCAATTTTGAGGCTGAAAATATCCTAAATTTGGTGATTTATGTTTTTAGTCAAGACTCAGTAAACTCCGGTCAAGATACAGACATATAATGATAAAATTGCTAAAAAACAAAGATAAAGGGAAAATATTGAAAGAGTACAGAAAAAAATGACATGTTATATACAAGTTAGCACCAATTTGAGTATTGCTCGTTTCTCATAAGAAACAATGGAAATAAGAAGAAAATGGATCATTGTTAGAGTGCCAAAAATATTGTCAATCTAGAATTCTATATCCACTGAAAATGTCCTTAAGGAATTAAGATGAAATAAAGACACTTTAGATTAAACTAAGAGAATTGCTGCAATGCAGCTTCCCTGAAAGGTGACAAGAAATGAAATCAGATAGGAATGAAGAACACTGGAAATAGTAAACCTGTGCGTAAATATAAAAGACTATATTTTTCCTTATTTCTTTAGAATACATATGAATGTTTAAAGAAAAATTATAAAATTTTGTTGTGGAGTTTGCAATGTATGTAAATGTAATACATATAAAAACTATAACATAAAGGACCAGGGAGGTGGCAAATGGACCTGGATAATTACAAGGTCTTATGATGTTTTATATAAATTGGTATATTTACCCTAAAAAAACTGAAAATTTAAGGATGCATATTGTAATCCCTAGAATAATGACTACAACTAGCCAATAGACAAAATGGGATTATAAAACATGTTTATTTATGCAAAAGACGGTGGGAAAGGAAAACAGATGAACAAAAATCAGATAGTACAAACAAAAAATAATAAAATAGTAGACTTAATCCAACCATATCAATAATTATATTAAATGTAAATGGGCTAAACATTCCAATTAAAAGACAGAGGATGGAAGATAGAATTTGAATAGTAACAAGAAATCAAAGATATTTTAAGGTGGTGACTTTGGTTCTGACCTGAGAGAGACCAAGGTGGAAGTTGATTACATAGACTAATCAGCAGATGGGAATGGTCCAGAAGATTGGCTGACACAGTGAATAGTGAGTATTTACTGATTGAATGGATGTGCCTGACACTGCGAAGCACTTTACTTACATCATCTCATTTAACCTTGATAACAAGCCATGGACCATTTTCTTAATTTAAGATGGTGAAATTGAGGCTTATAAAAGTTAAGTAACTTGTCCAATTCTACAAAGCTATTTTAGGTTCAAAGCCAGACCTCTCTAATCTCAAAAGTTGTGAAAAATGGTTCACACTGAAAAGGAATCAATTGCACTACTCCAAAAAGAAATTGATTTAGACAGTCTTTTAAATTTTGTTTAGTGTTAAACTCATTGTGTATGGGAAAGAAACTAGAAATTATATCAACAGAGAAAGCTTAAAATTCTTCAGGAGGATAAAGAATTGGTTCCTTATCCTCCAGTTGACAAGGTGTTTTCATTTTTGTCTCTCTTACCAGACTAATGTTTCAGTCTTAGCAGATCCTTGGAAACAGTGAAAGTCAAAAATTTTGCCACTGATTTTCCTTTGAATCCACACAAGCTTGTTGCTCCTTTAGTGTGTATATGGCACCGTGGTAGTTGCAGGGATCAACAAAGCAAGTTTCTGTTGTCCAAGGGGTCACAGTCTCCTTGGGATTAAGGTGATACAAAAATTATCCTAACAAAAGGAAGTGTAAGCACCATAGAGAGGCACACAAGGAATGCTGAGGTTTGAATTTTTAAAAAGACCAGACACATCTTTAAAACACATTTGGTATTTATTAAAATAATCTAGTGTGATAACCTCTGGAAGTCAATAGATTAAGATGAGGGAGCCAGGCCTTCTTTATTTTTATTTTTGTTAAAGCAGTCGGAAACTTGTAAAAACAGCGACTAGCTTTACCATGGCAGATTCAGTCTCTCAGTCAGGGACCACAGTTTTCCACTAAGGTGGCACAAAATGGGTTTCTGGAATGCAAGAATGAAGGAAGAGTGGCTACGGTTCAAAAGTCCGGATAGCCTTTCCTGAGAATGTAGGAATCACAATAGGGCAAACAAAAGAGAGGGAAAAGCGGGTAGGGCAATGGGGTTTAGGGACTGCCTGGGTTTAAAGAGTTAAGGTGATAATGCTGGAGTAGAAATGAAAAGGACAGGCAATAGTACTGAGATCTAACCTCACTGATTGGGAAGAAAAGAGCCTTCCTAGTAGGGTTGAAATGAGGACGAGTCCCCTGTCCATTCACACTGGGGAAACTGTCCTGTGCACAGTTGGGACTAAGAGGAGCCTGTGGAGCCACATATGCCTTGCATAAACTAGTTTCAGACCAAAATTTACCTTGGTCACTGAGCATGCTCAGCTTTCAGTCTCCTATAGAAACATAGATTCTGTGGCTCCAGATGTTAGCTTTGGCAGCTGGCAGGGGATGGGGTGGGGTGGAATGGGGGTGGCAGAGGCCACAGGTGGAATCTGGTGTTTGAGTACACTTGAAGGGGAAACTGTGAGGACCAGGGGGCAGCCGGGAAGGGGGTCAGAGTAGATCTCGAGAAATAATTCACAAGTGTGGCTGGCTTTCATCTGGTCGGCAACCCTTTTGGAAGGAACCAGTTTGCTTATTACGAGGTAGTGCGATACAAAGAGTTACAGGAGAAAGGGAAAATTCAGGGTTCTGGCCCTAATCCTTGGGTATGACCCGGGTGAAGAGAACAATCATTATTATCCATTCCTTTCAGGGTCTTCCCAGCTACCCCTTCTTGGTTTGCAATCGACCTTTTGCAGCGGACTGGGTATTGGAGCAGACAACAGGAGCCGGATGGAGGGTGCTAACCAGGCAGTCTCTGCCCCACCTCCCCCGCTTATCCCTCCACTCTAGCCCACACTAGTCGCCAGGAGCCAAAATATCTGGCGAGGCGCAACAGGCTCAGAAACTCACCTTTACCAGCTCATTTGTACGTTTGGGCTCCTGACGGGGTGCATCCACATATGGGAATCTCACAGGTTCTCCGACTCCTATGCTTTTGGTGGTATGAGGAGGGGGGTTTCCTTCAATTATGTATATAAACAATGATTACTGAAGATGTGCTCCCAGGTCACAGAGCCTGCAGGCGGTGCCCGCGGACCAGAGGCCAAGGCAAGGGCCTGGCCGCCGCGCGGGGCTCACACTCCTGGCGCTTCTGTGAACGGTGGGCACACAACTGGCCAAGAAAGCAGCGGCCAGGGCGGTGGGGACCCCCACCCCCAAACCACGCCGCATCCCGTAGCTTGGGGCGCCCACTGCGCACAAAGTACGCTTCGGGGCGGTCCTGCCTGACCCCGGAAGAAAAAGTTGTTTTGGGGAAGGGGAGCAAGGAGAGCAGAGTTAAGTAAAACTAAAAATCAACGTTGTTCTGCTCCCCTTAGACTGCCTCCCCTCAGCCTGATCTTTGCACTAGTCTCCTATCGAATCTGACTTCCTCATCGGGACCGACCCTTCTTAAGTTCCAATTTGAGTTGGGGGACCGTGAGCACTGGGCCCGCAGGTCCCTCGACCCTCTCCGGATCCAGGTCGCTAGGAAAACCCGGAGCGGAGCATCCCCGGGCCGGGGAACGCCCTCGGCGCGCGCTCACTGGCGCGCATGCTCAGTCGCGCGGCGGCAGCAAGTAGGAAGCTCTGGGCGGCAGTAGCAGCGGCGTCGGCAGCTAGACTGGAGGGTGGGAGGGGACACACCGGTTGGCGGGCGGGGGCGCTGGGACGAGGCTTTGGCTCCCGCCCGAGGCTCCTGGGAGCGTTTCGGACCGCGAAGCTCCGCGCGAGCAGCGAGCGAGCACGGTAGCCAACGAGCGCGGAGTGAGCAGCGGGCGGAGCGGAGCCGCCGGGCGGAGCGGGCTAGGAGCCCGTATCTCCGCGGCTCAAGACCCGGCGGCGGGGCGGCGATGTTCCACTGCATCCCCCTGTGGCGGTGCAACCGTCATGTGGAGACCATCGACAAGCGCCACTGCTCGCTGGTCTATGTCCCCGAGGAGATTTACCGCTACGCCCGCAGCCTTGAGGAGCTACTGCTGGACGCCAACCAGCTCCGCGAGCTGCCGGAGGTGAGTGTCCGCCCCACCTGAGCGCCGCCCTGGGGGCGCGCTGCGGAGCCTGGCCAGCCCTTGCCCCCTCCTCACCCCTCTCCTGTAGTCCCCTCCCCTCTCCACTTGTCCCCCTTTCCATCTCCAGACCCGGCCAGCAGGTCCCACAGCAGGATCCACCTTTACCTGCATTCACCTGCTTCCTTCTCCTTTTATCCCCCCCCCCCGCTGGTAAAAGTTTGTTTTTCATTTTATACGAACGACTTGAGGTTTTCCAAGTCGTCACCTAGAGTTTGTGCGATTTGGGGAGACATTCTCGGCTGGCCAAGTAATTTAGATAACATGTCTAGGTACTAATAATACCTGGCACTTGTGCCGGCTCAGGTAAGGAGCCAGGTGGCTCGCGCTGTTTTCTGCTGGAAGGACCGAGCAGGGGCCAGTCCCCTCACCCCGCATTCCCCGACCATTAGCCGAGGAGTGTCTCCTATTTGGCCAGGGCAGGTCCGGGAGGAGGTAGGCAGTGCACGAGTGAGCCGTACTATCTCGGCATCTTGCGAGGAATGTGCTCCGGGCCTTATCGCGGCTGAGTCGGGCTGGTAAGAGCTGTAGCTTGGCCGGCCTATCTTGGCCCCGGGAGCGGCCTCGAGGTTGGGGGTGGGGTGCCGGAGGAGAGTCGCGCCTGGAGACCTGTGGGCAGGTGCCCAGGTGCCCGCCGTTTGGGCCCGGCCGGCGTGAACCTGTTGCGTGGAAGCCGCCGCGGTGAATGTCAGCGGAGGCTCTGCCCGGCGGGCCAGCCTTGCAGCCGCCTCTCCCGCAGCCGCCGCTTTCAGCCTGCTGACTCTGTCCTAGCAGTGATGCGTTACTTCTTCACAGTTGTTTACACAAATCGATCAGTGTGTCGTGGCTGAACTTGTCAAGCCACTCATGCTGATTCTGCTTTAATGGAGGGCTGAGGACTGCAAACTTTTAACCTTCGAGCCTGTCTCAGGAACTTAGCTTGAGTAACCCTTAAAGAAGAAAGTATCCCAAATCCAGAGGTGTGCAGGAAGTCAATGTGCGATAATCCAAAGGTGTGCAGGAAGCAGGGAGGCTTCAGGGAGTGGAGGAGAGGAGCTGAAGGCCTGAGCGCTGGCACGCAGGTACATTTTTTGTCCTTTAGTTAACACAAAGCCTAGACATTGTCACAGAAACACTAATCAAATGTTCTGGCTTTTTAGAATGACCTGGTGTGTTCTCCAGCGCTGACAGAACTCTTGCGTTTTTCTCAATATCTAACGTGTTGTTATTCTTTTGGATTAACTTTCCTTGGTTCGTGTGGAATTGATTGGAGGGTTTGCTCTGTGTAGTCCCGGGGATTATCCTAACTAGGTTCTGTGCAAAGCCCCCCCCCAACCCCCCTCCAGGCTTTATTTAGCTTAGAAGCAGAAAAGTCATCTAGTTTCCTCAGGCACTTATTATTTTGCAGGCATTTTCAAACACATGGTTTTGTCTGGACTTTAGCTTCCTTAAATTTGACATAAAAGTCATAATTCTCATTTACGGCCTTAAATTGTAATAAGTTTTAGGTGTTGCTATCACCAGAACTATAGAATGTATAATTTAATACTTTTCAAGGCTTCAGAATGATGTTATTAAAGATTGAGTGAAAAGTTGTTCAACTAGAAATGTTTCAGTGCTCTGTGGTTTTCTTGTTTGTTTATTTGTTTTTCTTTTGTAGAACTGGAAAATTTCCTTTGGATTGGCTTTTCATTCCCTTCTGCAAAGGTTGTGGGTTTTCCTGTAATGCTGGGGAATTGTGGGGTTTGAAAATGTCAGGTATTTCTACTGATCCTAAATGAAAACTTCTCAGGAGCTCAAAATACAGTCTGATAGCACTCTGTAAATATGGTAAATAACACACTTTTCAAAGGCTAAAGGTGGTCTTGATTATGGGTAATTATTTCTCCTACAGCTCTTAAATTAGTTTTATAGTTATTAAGGTGGTATGAAATCTATTTCTCCTTGACTTATTGTGTGCAAGGGAGCATGGGTGTGTACAAGCCAGATACGAACAACCACCTTGAAAGCACAGATATTTCTTTCACAGTTGAAGTCTTTCCTTGGGCCATTCCTTCTTTCACCTCTTGAGATCTGTAAAACTCATTAACACTGCTCCCTGCTGGCCTTGCCCCTCCCACAACCTCTGTCTCCTTACCTGCCACATCATCATTGGGCCTCTCTTGCTGACAACCCTCCAAAGTCCTTGTCTTGGTGGCCATCCCAGTTGTATGTTCCATTGGAAGCACAGCCAAAGGGGTATCCTGTACCCCCTACCTCAACAGCAAAGATACACACACTGCCCAGGCTTCAGCATAATGAAAAGTATCTCCTTTCCTCCTCTGAAAGGTCTGCAACCTCTGATTTGCTCCAACCCCCTCATTTTACAAATTGAGACTCAGAATTGAAGTGATTTTCGGGGCTGTCCAGCTGGTTGGATGCAGAATCACTGATCATCTGTCCTCTTGTACATGTGTCCACCAACTGTAACAGCTTTGTCCAACCTAGCAGGAATCTGGCCTCACACCCATCAAATCCTCGGTATTTAGCTCCTCCCCCCTGTTTTATGCAGGTTATTAAAACTGGGCCTCAGTCAAACATTTATTGACCCTCCATTATCTGCTAGTTGTTGGGAACAGAGAGATTAAAGAAGGTACAAGTCCTACAAGGTACTCACAACCGGGGAGACAGATGATTTTAATATGGATATGGTGACTGTGGGGTGGAGTTGGCACCACAGTTACCAAACTTGATGGTTACTTACCTAATCTACCCTTTTGTTGAACCTGCACCAACCATCCTCAGCAGTGGTTCCACCTTGTGATAGCTTCTCAGTGCTGCTGTTCCGTAGGGAAGGTTTAGAACACTCATCTCTAGTCTGGCCCCAGTTGGGTAATAGCCTCAACATCCCTTTCTCATCCACCTACTCCCATCACCTGCTCTAGCTCGATCCCTTTGGGATGGGTATTAACAGAGACAGTCTGGCTTGAACCTCCTTGAGGTGCCCACGTGTCTTTGCTCACTCTTGTGAACACAGAGCCAAGCATCCAGTAGGTCTTGCCCAATAAACAGCTGTTTATCTGTTGAATGGATGTTGCTGAGCCTGATACAAATCTTCGCTTCTTTCTCCTCCCTTAAGCATATCACTGCTCCAGCATCTATACTTTTCTGATACAGTTGAAAATGCCTTCAGAAGTGAAGATCATCTAGTGGTCAAGCTCTTTTGTCTTCTTCTGCAGGATCCTTGCCTTTCCCTCTGTACTTTCTCTGTGCATCTGAAGTCATCAGCTTTCCCCTCAGTGTGCACTGATTCTTGAATACCTTCAAATATGAATGTTTTACTGTCATTCCTCTAGCACCAATACAGTGCCTAGTCTAATAGGCAGCAGATATTTTGAGTGAATGCTTTCAAGCCTTTACAACTCAAACATTGATTTCATCACCTCACCTCCTTGTAATTAAAGTTCTGTTAGAGTTCTTTCCATGATTACCAGATAGCATTTCAGATACCTGCCCCTTCCCATCATACTTTATTCTTTTTATCCTGCTTTTTATCCTGCTTTATTCTTTTTCCTAATGCTTAGAGTACTTATCACTACCTAACTTCAGAAAGGTAACTTGCTTATTTTTTCTTTGTCTGTCTCCCCAACGAGATAGAACATAAGCACCATGAGGGCAGGGATGTTATGTTCCTGGCTGACCCTAGGACAGTATCTGGTACCTAGTGGATACTCACATGCTTGTTGCATGAAGGATTCCTTACATGTTGTCATGGGTAGACTGCCCCTGTTTCTTAGCCATCATAATCCCCCTTCCTAAAGTCTGACTTCTTCTGTACACCAATCTATTTAAATTAGTAATGACACAAAGTCAGTCACAATTCAGTGGTCTTCTCTTGCCAGTCTTTGTTCTCTATCTCTTCTGTGCTAGACATTTTTGACCTTATATTTTTGTAATAATTTTTATGCATTGTAAACATAATTTCTATGGATGTGACTTCAGTATATCCAGCTGTGATCTGTTAAGAGTGTATCTATCCCTACTTGGAATAAGTCCCTTTTATCTTAAACCCACCATGTTTCAATTTAGGTCTC